AAATAAAATATAACTATCATCTTCTATAAGATCACTGTAATCTATCAGATCCAGAATTAAATGGATATTATTGCAAATATGCCTGCCTTTCATAAAACCAGATTGTGTCTCATCAATAATCTGATCCAACCCTTTCTTTAATCTATCCGCAAATATCAAAGCTAATAATTTTGCATCATTATTCAACAAAGTTATAGGTCTCCAATTTTCTAATATTAGCTTATCCTTGTCAGGTTTGGGAATAAGCTAAATCAATCCTTGTTTCAGAGAAAGTGTCATTTCTTTTTTTTTGTACAGCTTCTTCAAAAACACCAAATAAAAAATCAATTAACAAATCTTGAAAAATTTTATAAAATTCACTACATAAACCGTCATTCCCAGGGGATTTATTGTCTTTTAACTTATCAATATTTTTCTTTATTTCGTTCTTAGTAATTTGTTGATCACATTGTATATGGAATTCCTCATCTATAAATCTAGCGTCTCTCCTTATGGAATGCAAAAATACATCCATATCCAACCTGTTCTGTCTTGCTGAGTATAAAGGTTTGTAAAAATCTGTAACATATAAAGCTATATCTTTGAGATTATCTGTAATACTGACATTAATTTTTAAATTGTCAATCAAATTATATTCTAAACTTCTTTTTTCTGAATGATAAAATATTTAGTATTTTTTCCCCTTCTTCCATCCACATTCTTCTTGATCGTTTAAATGCACCTTTAGCTTTTTCTTCATAAATCTGATCTAATTGCAATTGCAAAAGATTCAATTTTTCTTTTTCTTCCTGACTGTAATCAGTAATCTGAGTTAATTCGATTATATCTTTAATAAGAGTATCTTCTTTATTTCTTTTTGACATAACTAGGATTTAGCTCCTTTTAATAGCTAACTCCCTAATTTTATACTTCATAAATTCCCAATAACTGCCGAAAAGCTGGTCCCTGTTGCCATGCCAAGGTTTGGGTCCTACAGGATGCGGGAGAAACCATTTTGCCGGGGAGAAATCAAAACAAGGTATTTATTTGAAACACGTGAGTTTTAAACACCAATTAAGTTCATTTAACTTATTTAAAACAAAGAAAAACGGGTGTTTGGTTTGAGTTAATGTTTAATTTTGACCAGACGTGAACAACCTTACTTTACTCTGTGTGTGCACCCACAGAGCAAGCAAAGCTATCCCCGGAATTTCCAGACTAGATAAAGTTTGTTTACGTTTGAAATCAGATGTTTCGTTTTTGTTTGGATAGTGAAATGTTTGCGTATGTGTACTTGTATACTACATGTGGATACCTCACGAGTGCCAGGTGATCTGGAAACGGAGTCTCCAGTCACAATGGTAGTAGGATTCATACTACAGTATCACACAACACAGTACAAATCTTCACATTTATAAGCATAAATTAGTTCTTTACTCCGTGCTAATTTGCTTGCTATGATTTTCTTTAACTGACTGCACTGCTAACTGACTGGGACTGTAATCCTAACATAGACAAATGGAAATATATTTTCATACTTACTGTATAATATTGTTCTTGTATTTATACCAAAGCTGCCATAAAAAAACAATAAAGCAACCCCATGACTTGGTAGTATCAAGAAGGCTGAGGTGAACTCCACAGCCCTTCCTATAAGAACATTTCAGTCCAGAATGTACTTCTTTTTTCCACTTGTGTCCTAGTATCTCTGTTGACCTTTCTGACTTCTGGGTTGCCTCTATCAGCATCTTTCAGGATTCCTCCCATAAAATATTGCTTTGGGAACATGGGCTCTGTCATCATGTGGTCCGGATTGTTTACTGACTCCACCTGCGGCGAACGCTAGTGTCTCATGTTGTCTGATTATACAGTGCTGTACACAGCTATTTGGACGCCTTCTATGAAGGTTTTATGAAATCACAAAATGATAAACACACTGAAAAACTGAAAGCACAATCTGACAATTTTTAGACAGGTTCCGGCAAATATCAGAAGAAACTGAAGATAATTAAATATGCTGATTACATAAGTATTCAGATCTGTGAACTCAATATTTGGTAGAAGCACCTTTTTTCAGCCAGAAGTGTCACGCCCTCTGCAGCCAGAGGGCGCTCCTTCTCTGTCCTGTCCCTAGTTTCCAGTCTGCTGTCCTTCCGGTCCCTCTCTTTCCCTTGGGCTATATATTTCCGGGTTTTGCACTCTGTCCTGGCTCAGCATTGATGTTCGGATGTCCTGAGACCCGCCTAGCACCAGGGCGCCCCACGTCCGCTCCCTGAGGGCACAGGTTTCTATACGTCATTCCTGAACTCTTTGCACTAATGAGCCTGGGCCTTTTTCCCGTCTCGTTGTTACGCATATGGGTCTTTTTCCGCTCTCCTGCTCCCCACGGCTAGTCCCTTTGGATGTCCGTGACAGAAGTCTTTTTTGGGGAAGCGTCGACTAACTTTGCTCACCGGCTGGGTGCACTTTTTGTCCTTTCTTCTTGGCAGATTAGCTCTAGCTTTCTCAAGATGCTCAGGAATCACTTATGACAGCAGCTTTCAAGTCTTTCCATAGATTCTCAATAGGGTTCAAGTCAGGACTTTGACTGGGAAACTCAAACACATTCACTTTTGTATTCGTAGGCCACCCCAGTGTAGTTTTGTATCACTGCAGTGCTGAAAGGCTATTTTTTTTCTCTACACTTGGCCAGTATATCACTCCAACTGTGCTCCCGTCAGTCTTGACAATCTTCCAGGTCCTTGCTGCAAAGAATTGTAATATGATGCTGTCACTGCCATGCTTGAAGACCGTGATGGTGTTCCAATTGTGTCTTGCAAACTCTATGCGTGATTTGAGATGTTTTTCACAAGCTCCTTTTGTGGAGTGATAGGAATATTGTTGACTCAAGGACATTTTCTCCTATTTCAGCCAATGAGCGCTGGAACTCTTTTAAAGTTGCCCTAGGCTTCACAGTGGCATTTTTAACCAGTTACCTCCTTGCCCAGCTGCTCTGTGTAAAGGAATAACCAGATCTAGGCAGTGTCTGAAAACCTTCTACTTCTTAACTATCAACCTCACCATGCTCAAAGACATATTAAGGATCTTTGAAATGTTTTATACCCTTTCCCTGATTTGTGCTTTCTTCTGATTTGTTTTGAAAGCTCCTTTGTCTTCATAGTTGAATCTTTGCTTGAAATTCACTACTTGTCTGAGGGACTTTACAGAGATACATGTAGGTCTGAGATATGTCTATGTATTTATTCTGAAATCATGTAAACCACTATTATTTCACATATTTAGGTTTGCCACGGAAAAGAGCTTGATTCAATCACAAGTTCCCACTTTGCTTCATATTATGTGTTATACTGTATGTGTTCTACTGTATAGGTGTTAGTGGGGCCAGCAGGGGGCGCTCACCCTGTGATCTGTGTGGGTCCCAATGCCCTGGTATAGTTACAGGGACACTATACTGTAAACAGGTGCCGTCCTTCGGATGAGACGTAAAACCCAGGTCCTGACTCTCTGTGGTCATTAAGAATCCCAGGGCGTTTCTCGAAAAGAGTAGGAGTGTAACCCTGGGGTCCTGGCCAAATTTCCCATTGGCCCTTACCAATCATGGCCTCCTAATAATCCCCATCTATGAATTGGCTTCATTACTCTGCTCTCCTCCCCACTAATAGCTGATGTGTGGTGAGCATTCTTGTGCCCTATGGCTGCCGTCGCATCATCCAGGTGGATGCTGCACATTGGTGGTGGAGGGGAGTCCCCTGTTACCTGTAAAGCGCTTTGAGTGGAGTGTCCAGAAAAGCGCTATATAAATGTAAGCAATTATTATTATTATTATGATAATAATATTTTTTTTTTTTTGTATTTTGCTTTTAAAGTCTGGGGTAGGTTTCGTGTATAACAAAGCTTTATTGCTATTTCCAAGATTTATAGCTATTGCTATTTATTTATTGCTTTAAACTGCCAAACTTTAAAGCAAGAAAATGGGAAAACAGTGCAAAGGTCTGAATACTTTAGCAAGTCATATTATATTCTTCAGTAGAATACACTTATTGCAGTTATATTGTTTTGTTCGTAATGAATGTTGTGACTACAGTTGCACCATTGTGTAGAAACAAAACAGCAGTAGTAGCAATAGCAGTAGTAGCCATTATATCCGCTGTAGCTGAAGTAAGAGTAGTACCATAATAGCAGAAGTTGCTGGATTCAAATATTCTGAACAAAGGCTTTACAGAGTAACAGCACCTCATGTTCTAAATACAAAACGTCACAGAATAAATTCTGATTATCCATTAACGTCATGTGAAAAAAACATTTTCAGTCTCGAATCTGTTATCGAAAAACGAGATCTACTGTATAATCATTGGGGGAACATTGTCACGTTATGGTTTGAACAAATATATGTACTTAACGTGAAACCCTGATCAGGGCAAAATAACCAGAATTAATTTAAACAAGAAAATCCGTATTTTTAATGTAGTTCAGTTTTAATATGTCAGATTATTTTTAAATACTGTATACATTTTATTTTGCTTACAGTATATACAGTATCTCCAAAGTGTTTCAAACACGTAAAAGGCGATTCCACATTACCCCACTAGGTGGACTTCTTTGAAAATTAATAGAGTGACATTTCAGGGTACTGTACTTGGTTTTGTCCCTACGTAAAAACAGACAATGCGTGTAGGAGAAGATGGTTCGTTTTGTTTTGATTTAAAGGCAGCCTGGGGTGTTATTTCATTTTCCGAAATGCTTTTTACATAAAAAAAAACAAGAGGTATACATGTTATCGTGTATGCCCTTTTCGAAGTAATAACACATAAACGAAATCCACTGCATGCGATCTACAGTATCTGCCAATGAAACTCTCAGTCCACTATGCTAAAGAAAACAATGTATACATAGATGCTGTGCGAAACCCGAAAAGCCATTGATATTATTAGTGTGGTGTAAGCAAGGAGTTAACTTGTATCAGCCGAATCAGCTGCCCTCTTTCCCCTCCTACGCCGCTCTGTTCAGAGCCTACATAAACAAACCACAAAATCTGCCTACCCCAGTCAAAGAGTTTCCTTGCTCGTGTAGTTCGCTGGAATTCAGTCTTTGCAGTATCACAGCAATGGCTTTGGCAGATACCACACGTGGAATATCCAATGGTGGAAATTCAGGCTCTCTTTTTCCTGAAATCATTGAGCTTAATGTTGGGGGGCAGGTATACGTGACTCGACATACAACTTTGATCGCCGTCCCGGACTCTCTTCTCTGGAACATGTTTAGCCAGAGAACCCCCAAGGAGCTGGCTAGAGACAGCAAAGGGCGCTACTTTCTGGACAGAGACGGCTTTCTGTTCCGTTACATTTTGGACTACCTTAGGGATCTGAACCTGGTTCTGCCCGATTACTTTCCGGAGAAATGCCGGCTGCAGAGGGAAGCCGAGTTTTTCCAGCTGCACGACTTGTCCAAGCGCCTGAGCCCCAAAGTGAGCAAAGAGAATTCGATCAGCGAGGAGATCTGCCAGAGCGACACCGAGGAAGCAGCGCTGTTCGCGGGGGTCGGGGGGTCCAGCCTGGAAGCCTCCCGAGCTGTGTCCTCGGTGAGCAGCGTAAACCCTCGCTCCCCATCCCTGGAGTCGAGAAAGTCGGGCTACATTACTGTCGGATACCGGGGCTCCTACACCATTGGCAGAGATACTCAAACCGATGCTAAGTTCAGGAGGGTAGCCAGGATCACAGTGTGTGGCAAGACGTCTCTGGCCAAGGAGGTGTTTGGAGACACCCTGAACGAGAGCAGGGACCCTGACCGACCCCCAGAGAGGTACACCTCCCGATACTACCTGAAATTTAATTTCCTGGAGCAGGCGTTTGATAAGCTGACGGAGTCGGGCTTCCACATGGTGGCTTGCAGCTCCACCGGCACCTGTGCCTACGCAAGTAACGACCCCAACGAGGACAAAATCTGGACGAGCTACACAGAGTACGTTTTCTGCAGAGACTGACTTTGTCCTGCTCAAGATCCTGAAGTAAGACCAACTTCGGACTTTAAATGATACCAAAACATGTCGATAAAGTTTCTTTACTTTTGCGCTCTGTACTATTTTATATTGATATATTTTTTACACTTATAGCCTCCACCCCGGACTTCTTTTTTACTTATAATCATTTAAGGTCTTGCTTCTTAACAGTGAAAATAGCTGTTACAATGTACGAGTGACGGTGAACATTTACTGTTTTGTTTATGTAGTTACTTTGAGTTGCATAACAAGACCTCATTTTATTACGTTATCTCAAATTGTTTTGACATGCAGGAGAGGAAGTATAGTTTTTCCTGTAGTTTTGTACTGTGTTCCCCAATATTGAGGCGTTTTCTGTTGTGTCCAGTAGCTTGAAGTACAGGTACTGTACAGTATATGTTAATTCGGCACCTTACTTCGGATGCGATCAGTTAGTGTGGTTGGTTGCCTTCTGATCTGAATACAATGAAAAAAGTAAAATCAATGGGCAACGGTTAAAGGCTGTCTTTAAATGTATATTTTGAAAATATTTTCTATTTTTCTGGCGGCGGTTGATTGCCGCGCAGCTGTAATTTGGACAATTACGTGTAATGTATACATTATTTCAACAGTCGGGGTCTGAGTGTTGGTTTAGAAACACTTTTACTACGCTCTCCCAATGATATGTCTCCAAACGTATCACCTAAAAATGTAAAAATAATTGTAAAAGCCAGTAGCTGCCATCAGTTTCGTATTTTCTAAATGTATTTTCAGCCGTAGAATGACGACATTGCTGTGTTGTATCAGTGATTTGCAAACGAAGAACTAAGGACACTTAACTCTTAGTCCTTGTTCTCTTAATCATACTGAGTAGAAGAACTTTCTCCTCCACAGGAAGTAGTCATTTTGTAATAATTCCTTAGGATTAATGTCAGTTATAACTGATGCACAATATCATTATACAACAATTAATGTTGCTGTACACAGAGGAAAAAGCATTACTGTACGTGACAGCTTGTTGTCTAAATATTACAGGCTTGCATTTGTGATGACTTTTACTGTATTTTGAAAGTTCTATTGCTGACGTGAGAAGTATTTTATGAGAAAATGTTTAAAAAGTTCACTGCCAGTTTATGAAACATCTATATCGTTTTAAGAACGTAACATTTTTAGCTATCGGCTAATTTTTTCCTCCGTAATTTGTAAACTGTTGTAAAATAAACATTTCTGTAGTTTCACTTTACCATTGAATATACCATTTCTTGATATTTGATTTGTCAAGACTTTTATACAGATTAATTTGTTAGTGGCAATCTAATATAGGTTATATTAATAAAGCATTGGCTAAATGTTTGGTATGGTGCAGCATTTTTAAATTTCTTGATTTGTAGATTTTTTTTAATCATGAAGATCCTTAAAAATAGGGTTATCCTATTGTGGTCCTGCAGGGCTGTATGTGTCTTCAGGTTTCATAGGTCCTTTCAGCTGTTAAATACCTGGGAAAGGTTACTTAATTGGTTCAATTAAGCCATTAACGAGCTGACATAAGTCATTAAGAGCCAAGTTGGAAAGAAAGAACACAGACCTTCCAGGACCAGGATTTGACACCTCTGCATTAAATGATCTTCAAAATGTGACCAAACGTTTTAAATCTTACACAGCTCTGAAGCCTTTTCAACCAAATTAAACATTTATAAAATTTATTACATAGGCCTATATGTTTTAAAAGCATCTGGTTCTGCAATAACGTGTATGACTCTGAGCATTGTATTTCTAAAATTGTAAAAGTAGTTCAATAAACTCTTCCATTTCTGTGAAGGATTTCATTTTTTTTACATGTATTATTACAAAGCAAGAGTGGACAGGATAATGGAAGACCAGCCTGGGCAGGAATTTTTCACAACCTCTCTATGAGTTTATTTGAATACATCTGCTAGCTTCTCTCTTCTGATTCACACATTTTTCTTGTTATCGCTGGAACATTGGTTAGCAAAAATGAAGTGTGATTGGAACAGCCTCAGATACATCTTTTGAGATTAACATTCTGCTAGGAACCTTTTGATTTTCTACCTTGCTCATTAACAGCACATTCGTGGGTTCTTTTCTCTGAATTTGTAAATGCATTCAAGGTGTAAGAGCATTTTATGTTTTATCTGGAAACTCCAAGCATACATTAGTCCAATAATTCAGTCTCGCACAACTACAGTATAATTCCCTGAGCACAATAATATGTTAAAAATAAACTAAATACATATAGGTTTTTAAATGCATGGTGTGTATGTCTTACTGAGCAATTAATTACACCAGAGCAGTATTTCTGGAACTGCAATAAGAAAATAACTGATCAGAAGCACATACATACAATATGCAAATAAATATCAGGGGGATTAGTAGATCAGATTATTGTCCATAGATTTGTTTTTATTACCAAAGAATTTAGAGATGAGGAAGATTGTAATAGTTCACCATTTTAGTATTAAGTGGACCAATTTAGAGGAATTTTAACCCTTTTTCTTAGCCCTTAAGGTTATGAATACTGGAAGAGAACCAGTAAACCTCAAGATAAGTACTGGCATAGGGTCTCTGCCTTAGATATCTATTATAGACATAGAAAGTGATCACTGCATTGGTCTGCTGGCATAGTACGATACTATTTTTTTTTCTCCAGACATTTGAATTTGGATCTAGTCAGTTTAATATGATGGCAAAGGGATATGTAAAGGTTAATTCCACCATATTTGTTTGTCACTTCATGTTTTAAGAAAAACAAAATGATGCTCCAGATGAACGCAGGAGCCAGAGACCACCAAATTTCCAATCCTATAAATCGTTATATCATCACATCATCACAAATGACGTGGTGATAAAATGATTTACCATTGCACATCACACTGTCTCAGTACTTTGGCATAAACAAAACGAAAATTGTAGTTAAATAATTAAATTGGAATACAAACAATCCAAAGCTTATCTACCCCCTGTTGTGCTGTAATGCCTAATTACTCTTTTTCTGTAAATTGGTAGCAGAGCAGCAGATGTAGTTAAAGTACTGCACTTTGATGCACATTAATGTTGGTTTTATTACTTTTCAGCATTTTTGTTTTGCATTTCCTTGAAATAAACATATTGCAGATAGACTGTATGCTTAACTTCATAATGCATTTCTAGTATCTAAATCTCCCCTGTCTTTACTTATATAAATATTTTTTCTTTTCTTAGCATGCTACCCTGGGATACCCCTGGCTCGTGAGCACAGTGGTTCTAGTTTTCTCTTTATGTAAAATGTTTAGCAGATGTAGACAGTGATGAAAGTTTTAATTTACTGAAATGCAGTCAGGTTGCACCTGGGAGCTTTTTTAATGAAATGCTGACTGGAAAGACAATCAAGTTGACCTGAGAAACTTTATCATACCCTCCCAGTTCTTATACTTATAGCATATAATCATTAATGATATTCAGTGTGGGTGGAAAAGTACATATTATGGATTGCAGTGGAGTTGCTATTTTAAGTAAATTTATTCTGTCTCGTTGTTCTTCTGTTGGAGACAGAATAAGGCTGGGATTAAGTGTGTTCTCAGGCAATTTTATTTTAATTACCTTTTGAATTTATTGTATAAATGTAGGGCACACATTAGTAGGAAACACCAAAGTGAAAATAAGTTTCAAGTTTTTAATGCGTATATTGTACTTGCTCTGCACTTCTGCAAGTACCTGTACTGTAATGTTGTACTAATATAACCATGAAAAAATAAATTGACTACATTTCTTGCAACTAATTTTGGTGAATGAATGAACGAACATTGAGCACTGGTACAGGCCTTATCAATTTGTTTCTTTCTGTTTTAGTAATGATACTATTTTTTTAATAAGTAAAGTATATTTTACTGTGCAAGTGGAGAAGGTGATTCAAAAGGTTCGCCTAAGAAAGTATTTTAGCTTCTTGGCCAAATTTAATATAATGATTTCCTTTATCAACCGATTAACAACTTTGATTGTTTACAGTGCTATCATGAAACAGATTGTGCAGATACTACCACAACGTTGATGTGTTCTTGTATTGACTAAACCTTCCACATTATAAATAGTAAGACACAGATTTCAGACTTCAGATCATAATGGAAAAATGTAATAATTGGAGTATGCTTAGGTGAATCTACTTCTGACTAACATGATAATGGTTCAGCAATCCATATGTCATTTGACAGGATGAGTCAGGAGTGTTACCCTATTAAGGCTCTCTACTTTACTTTTTCTTTATTCTTTTTTCCTTTAACAAATACATCCCTTAATTTTCCCTCGATCCCTTGATTTTGAATGAAAGGTTGCCAGTTCATTTTTTCTTGCTGATGAAACACTTTGAGACCTCTGTTCATGGCCAAGGCAAATGAATGCCAGAGTCCTTCACAAATCACTGGGCCCAAACGGAATTGTTCAGACTGGAATTTTATGGGTGTATACTTATAAATGAGGAACACATGCAGCTGTCCGGAAACCAGCCTCTATTAAAGCAGACTGGAGTTTGTATTGGACAGCCCATTTCTGCAGTGAAAGGGGAGTCTGTCGAAATACTTTAGCTGTGATCATACTTTAGCTGTTCTGTTTGTTTTTAGAACAGAGGAGACCCGCATCTTTCTGATTTAAAATATGGGAGTAGAGGTTTTCTACAGTGTTTTCTTACAAACAGTGTATTAGTTTTTAATGGTGTACACTTCCATTGTTTAGGGAAGTAAGCAAGTCTGATTGGTCAAAAAGTGCAGTTTCAAATGAAGGACAATATCTGCAGTACTCCTAGAGTGTAACTTTGGAGTTTCATTCATGCTGCAATGAATGAAAAAAAAAATCAAAATTAAAATGCATGTACTGTTTTTAATGTGCATGAGTTGTAATGCTGGTATTTAAAATCAAAATGGAAAACAGTTTACTCAATCCCCTGACACTGCAAGCAGATGTGAGACCAAAGAAGAGGAACAGAATCCTTCTTTTGCTGGAAGCAGCTACCCTGTAAAAAAACAATTAGCGAGAGCACAGCACTGATGTCATGCTCTGTAGGCTATTTTCATAGCTTTCTGTGTTTCTGTGTTTCTTTACAGGATAGTTCAAATCCAACAGCAATCTGTTTCTGACTAACATCACGACAAGGGTTCAGAACTCAAAACTAAATGGTGACCGCAGTTCTGATTTTCAAGTGCAAAGGTTCTTTGATCATTTTAAAATGATATCTTCATCAAACTTAAAGCATGTTTTTATTTAAATCACGTAGGTATTTGATATGAAGTATACATCAACAATGATAATGACGGCAACAGCCACCTGTTTTTTCTCACAGTTCTGTCAGACCTGTATTTTTATCACATACTGTATCTTTCTATAGCATGAGAGCAAATGATAGAAACACATTTTAGTTTCTGTTTTCTGTAAGTCAGAAGTGACTACTTTTACACTGGACTTTTGTCGTAAGAGTTCACAACTTAATTATCCACCATGGAAGCTTGAATGGGCAGCAGGCTAATTATTTTAATTACTGTAATTCACTAGGTAGAATTCACAGCTTTTCGTCTCAGAATGACACCTCTTTCAATTCCTGTCTGTAACTTGCTAAATAGATGTGCACCACAGTCAATAATATAAATTTAAACTACTTAAAATGCACAATTAAGAAATTGTTTTTAAACAGAATTTACTCTTAAAATTAAATCTGAATCATTCCAAACAGAAATGTTTAACATCTTATCTTTTTTTATTTCAGTTATATTTTTTAATCGAGTTATGTTGAAGGGACATGGCCTTATTCAGTCAACATTGTACAGCCATTCTAGGTCTAGCTTTGGGAATTATTTAACATCTGCACATATGAAGAGGAGAGGAGATTAAATCTTTGCTAGTAATGTATAGTTCACTAATTCAGTTATATCCTAATGAATGCGAGAGAGGGAGGAATGTATTATAGGTTATTTGGCATAACTCGCCTAGCTGACATAATGGCAGTCTGACCATAAAGACAAGGCAGATTGAACCCACTCACTTTCTAGGTGAAAAGCTCCTATGGGGGTGTAAATGGGTGGTTGAGTAAGAGAGAGGTGCACAAAGGGAAGTACACAGGTGCAAGATATATATATATATGTGAGAGAGCAGAAGTGGCACTAGATTAAGATCTAACCTTCCTCCCCAACTTTATTAAGTTCAATATTCATCCCATAAAGTAAAACAGCCTTTTCACGAAACCCTAAAGGGCATGTTGAAAATATGTTAAGGACTGAAAAATTGTGTGTTAGAGCACTCATTATATAGAAAACCAAGCAGATGATGCCATACCAAACATGGGGTCTGCAGAAAGCAAGAAGTGAGTCACATGCTAATCTCTAGAACCTTCTGATAAAACTTCCTGTGGCTTGCTAACTACTTAAAAACTTTCACTGTTACTCATACAATAAAGTGTTAACTTCATTTGCTGACTTCTTAACTTGTTTGGTGCAATCTATTTTCTACAAGAAATCTACAAGAGCAGTCTAAGTGTGCAAGCCATTTTCATATTTGCTTACATGTGTAGCATAGCTACAGCATTTCCCTTTCCTGTCTAACGACCAAAGTATTCAGATTTCCTTTCTGAGGAGTTTCACAGAAGTACTGATTGTGGTTTTCATTTCAATCATAGTTTGACAAAGTAAAGAGAAGGAAAGGTATGACCAACATGACTGCTTTCAAAGGTCTCAGAGTACAATTTTTGTTGCTTTTCATGATGAGATTTACTGTAGTAACATGGCCTGGAATTCTAATGGGAATTATGCAATGGTGCTTGTGTAAGGTCACTCCAAATCATA